CATGGCAACCATCCATCCATCCATCCATCCATTATGTATACACCGCTTAATCCTCACTAGGGTCATGAGGGGGCTGGAGCCTATCCCAGCTGACTTAGGGCGAAGGCAGGGGACACCCTGGACAGGTCACCAGTCTATCACAGGGCCACACTTAGAGACAGACAACCAAGCGCACACACATTCACACCTACGGACAATTTAGAATCACCAATTAACCTCAACATGTTTTTGGACCCACGCTGCACGGGGACAACATGCAAACCCCGGTGCCCCCACCGGGACGCAAACTGGCGACCTTCTTGCTGCGAGGCAACAGTGCTAACCAACTGCATCACCTTTTAACCATGGCAACCCAATACTAATAATAGGAACAAAAATTTAGGATATCTCTGTGTCTGCTTCTTTAATTTAACCCAGTTTAAATCTGTCGTCCAACTAAATGGAAGTGAAATGTGAAGATCATTAGACTTACCCTTAGAGTTCGAGTTAACTGTAAGAATCAAAGTATATTAAAACTGTACTATGATGTTACTATTTTCTATATTAAAGATATCAAAAACTGAAGAGATCAAAACTATGAAATCTCACACATGTTGTTTGAAAAAAAAAAAAAAAAGGAAACCAGGCAATGCACCCCAAACCATTTCAGCTGGATTTTGGTGTGTGGTTGTGGAGATCAGACCATCTGATGCAGTACTCCATCACTTTTCACTGTTTCTTGATCAAACAGCTCTTACAGAGCCTAGGGGTATTTTTTGAGTCATTGTCCAACTAAGCTCAGCCCAGTTGGGACCTAGTAATACTGCAGGATGCTGTGGTAGCCATGTTGGTCAAATGTTGCCTTGAATTCTGAAGGTGATGCACCACTCTGCTCCTGGCACATTGTCCCCTTGAAAAACTAATGATGGTCCCACTAAGTTCAAACCAAATGGAATATGTGTCATTGAAGAATGCTTTTGTAATCATGCAGGTTATGTCTTGAATTCTGAATAAATGACCGATGTCCCTACCAAAGCCTCACTTCTCTGTCTGACTACTGCATCCTGTAAGTAAACTGTAGCAATCCAAGATAGTTTATGACCTGTTTAATGTTTGCATAGGAAGTCTCGGTCTGCAAATAAAAATAGTGTGCAGGCCCATAAAAATGTATCATAATATCCGCTTGTTTGTCTGCAGACATTTTATAGTAGAGAAAATTACTGTGGTCAATACCATGAACAAAGTTTTCGTTCCTCTCTATTTCAAGTCTCTCAAAAAAGGTATGGTAATCTTACATTTCTGTTAAGTGACTTTTCCCTACATTCGGCTCTAAGAAAAGTGTGTTGCAACTGCACTGGAGTGCTAGAATACTGTATCATCTCCATTCCCAAAAGCAGGGCAGCTCTGCTTCTGTTGGTCAAAACAACACATCTGCTGGGTCACAGTTAAACAGAAGTGAACTCTGACTTGCAGGTTGAGCTGACATCGTGCTGAAACAGGAACATTGACTTTCCTCTTTTCTTTAAAGGAAGTGAATGGTAAACATAGCACTTTTTTGTAGGACTTAGGTGTACTATGACCACACTTTACCAGTGTGCCCATGTGCCAGCTTGTATATTACCAGGAATCTAAAACCGAAGCAGCTAAATGGAATTCATCCATCTTCCATTTGTTTACACTTTTCCTATTTGGACATGTCAAAAGTCTTGTACAAAAATATAGTAAAAAATACAAAATATTGTGCTTTTGTTGTCTTTACACTACATCCTCCTCAGAATAACAATCAGACTCACAACAAGCACACATGCTGATTTCTTTTTGAGCTTTACTTCAAAGTATGAGTAAGTACAGACAGTCAAGGTGTGACTGTATCACTGTGCTTACTGTGTATGATAGGTTGATATCTGAAATACAAACTGGAATGAGGTTGCGTACAGGACAGTCAGCAAAAACAGAACAGCCTATATGATGTCTCTTTTCCTGCATGTATCCTTGACACACAGTGTGAGCCTTGGACGAGTGTGTGTGAGGTTATGAGAGACAGAGCCATATAGGGAGGCGAGTGAAAACAGAGTTTATATGGATCCGTCCTGACCTCTGAAAGAGAGAGAAAAGTGAGCAGGGCAGAGTTTATTAGATTACGACTGATCTCTGGTGACGGACTGCCCTTCCAGGTACATAGATGCAGGGCAGGGATGTTAGAATCTCAGCTCCATACTGCCATCAAATGGAGGAAATATGATGAGTTTCTTGATGCAACCCCCCTGCTGAGGTTTTAACTGTAGGGCATGCCACTGAGCTACTGCAAAATAACAACCACAACTTACAGATATTTCCTACTGGGAAAATCACTTGATAATTGATTTTGTGTGACTCCTTAGAAGAAAAAAAAAATCCAGCTTTATTGGACACAAAGAACTGACCTCATCAGAAAATTTTAATAACTTGGACTTGCTGTTGTCAGGAGTTTCAGTCCCTATATTAAAAGACCTGTCAATCAGTTTGTGAGTGACAGCTGTAGCCAGTCTTCAACAGTTTTAAATGCAAGAATCACCAAAAGGCACATGCACATTTAAACCTCTTTAGAATTGTTTGGTTTGGCATGTTGAGATGGAACCAACAGCATCTGTCATTATCAATTGACTGTAATAATAATTTTTATGTCAGAGAATAGTGAAAAACACCCATCACAAGTTCCTGTCGATCGTCTTACCGATTAATCCCCTAATTGTTTCACCTCCATAGATTGTCATGTAAAGTATAATTTTTAATCACCATAGGAATGAAAGGAGGGGGAAAAACAAACCAATTTATGATGCAAGCTTAAATTTAATTATAGATGTTAAAATCACAATTCTTTTCATTCAAACAAGCTGTTGTTGGCTGTCGGGAGACTGGAACATAGCACCCAGTGTTTGACCATGCACTTATCCAGTCAATGTGATGGTTAGTGGCAGCTCAGTGTGAGGGATCCTATGAGCAGTGGGACCAAAGTGGCTTCTAACAATGTTTTATATTCATATTATTCATAACTTAAGTAGTAGTAGTAGTAGTGGCAGCAGAAGTAGTAGTAGTCGTAGTAGTACTAGTAGTATCGGGAGAGAAAGTGATAAAGTAAGTTGGGTGAGTGGGAGGCCAGAGGAGAGATAAGGCCTTAGTTTGTAATGATTTGTGGTAAAAGATTTGTTTGATGTTTTATGGGTAGGTTGTTCCAACAAATTTAATGTGTGTGCCTTTTTAATGGTTGTATGTATCTGGACATTGCATACATCTACAGATCACCGTTTTCCTGCATGTGTCCATCTTTTCAGTTTTATTCGTTTACAGAGAAATGAAAGTAATGACGAGCATGTGGCCCAAACAGAGTAAAAGCACATATATTTTATCACAAATAAAGGATAATAGTTATGAACGATATCATTGGGATCACTTTCAGAGCGATCTCAGAACAGCTTCTCTCTCTGATTCCATGGTGATGAAAGACGCGCAGTAGCACACCCCTGTGCTGACGCTGTGGCGACTTTCTCAGTGTTTTCTGATTTCCAAATCGTCTACTAACATATACATACTCAACATGTTTATACTGCATACTAGTGTAAGGATTATAATGCAAACTGTTCCCACTGAAGTATACCAGCCTAGTGTATCATCACATAGCTGCTGAACAACTGGCTCTAGCTCTGTTCATATATCACTTTACTAACTTTTGAAAACATTTCAGCTGAGAATGTAACCATGAAGATGACCAGTGTGTGTTCATTTCATCCAGAAAACGCCTGGATATTTTTTGCCTTTTATATTTGAATGGGATAGACTGGCGACCTGTCCAGGGTGTCCCCTGCCTTTGCCCTAAGTCGCCTGGGATAGGCTCCAGCCCCCCCGCGACCCTAGTGAGGATTAAGCGGTGTATAGATAATGGATGGATGGATATTTGAATGGATATGGAGCTTATACGCAGCTGGAGCACACGATAGCTGCTCAGCGCCCACGTTTACAGAATGATAATGTTTGTCAGTGTGGGCGCACACATCTTTATCGTGATCTCTATAGTTATTAGTGTGGATGGGCCATAACAGTAAAACTGGTGAATGTCTAACTGTCGGAAGAAAAGAACGACAAAAACATCACAACAGGCGCTGTCTAATCGGAAAAAAAAACATTGCCCAGACACGAAAGACAAGTCCAATTGAAATGTATTGGTTTGAAATTCATGGTGGGGAACACGAAAAATTTGGGCAATACAACAGCTGCATGTGTGAATGGTCCCTGGTCACTAATCCATAAAAGTCCAGCTAAAACACCAGCAGTGTTACTTTGAGTTGTATGATGTGATCCAAGAAGGGATTTTTAAAAATGTTAGCATCAGCATTCATTCAAAAACATCACAGAGATGCTTAATACACAGTTCATGTGTCAAAATCACAACAGACCTTTTGCATGTGTTTTGTGCTTTGCTCTTTATAATATGAGAATTTCATTAGTTACCAGCGCTGCTGTTCAGTCTGCAAAAACTAGGCAGGCACACACATATTGGTCCTGCTGCTGTCTGATGCTGCAGATATTTTAGTTCCAAACAGCTGGAAGAAACACACTTCAGCTCCTCTTAACATATTTTGGGGAAAAACACTACGACTACATTCATGGAGAGTATCATTATTCTTTAAGCTGTTAATGTCTGTTTCATCGCAGCAAGGTTTCATTATTATGGAGATTTCCTGTCGGTGCCAAACAGATTTTAAATTGCACGAGACAAATACATCTCTGCCGCTGAAGTGTTTGCGGCGACCTGAAAGCTTCCAGCTTGAGAGGACGGTGACGACGCCCGCTGGACGTTTGGAAAACACCGCCTATTTTGCTTTGCATACCGCCTCCTGTGTGAAAGGGGCATCAGAGAAACGTCCCAGGAAGCCGCTCTACTTTTCTGCCTGTCCATTGGGTATAATTTTGTGACGCAGTTTTGTCTAGCCAATTAGATTGCTTTTGTCGGCCGGGTAGTGTCGCGGGAACTGCTAGACACTCAAAACAACAAACCACAGAGGGGTTCAACAAGTGTTCAGGTGAGGGAGCCGAGTTTCTAATGCGAGTTCTGTCATTACAAGAGTGACACACTTGTGCCAGTGAAAGTGTAGTGCATAGGTTGCACGTCTTTGTAAACGTCAGCTCACTCCGTTTGCCAGCTAACTAGCTAAGTAGATAAACTGCTACTTAGCTGCCGTTGGCTGTGTCAAGCTTCCCACAAAAACGGTATTAAGGCAATACCTCTTCAAAATACAAGCCAGGCGTTCACGGTTAGTACGCTGGTAGTCAAATAACATTGTGAGATGTAAGGGGAGCCTCTGTCTGGATTGGGCTGCCTTTAATAGCGAAGGCTTTGACAATATGAATCATTGTTTGTTGACATTATCTAGATTTGTTTAGACCTCATTCGTCAACCAGGTTTCTTCTCATCGGCACAAATATTCTATCGTCCCATCTTAGTGAAAGTTTCTCAGTGAAACTATTTGACCATGCATTATAAATCTAGACTGCGACACAAAAACTAAGACAATTTTTTAGTGAAACGGACTGAATTTAGATATTTTAATAGACGATTTGTTAGGTGCGACTTTATTTTGACAGTTGAAACAGGAAATGGTCATGTTTTATCGATGTCGGTTTACAGTCATGCTTGCTAACGAGAGCTTCTTCTGGCGACGTCCGGTGTCTTGTTAATGTGGTTTAAAATGCCAGCCCCTCTTCGTAAGTCTTTGTACGTCGATGGATACTTTGCACTTGCATAATTAATAAACGTCTTTTCTCTGAACTTGTGTCTAAGGATTTGTTAACGACTTGACTAAACGTCCCTTAAATGCACATCCGAATTCATGGCGATTAAAACTGACTCCAGTAAACGAAATGTAGTGACAGCTGGTCTTCAACAGCATTTCTAATGAGGGTTGTTTAAGGGATGTGTTTTTGGTTTTTCATTACCAACATAACAGATTTACTTGCTGCTTAAACAAAATACAGTAATCGAATATGTATCCGGCTGAAAACTGTATTCCCCCCCCCAAAAAATGTCAGTATTTGGGGAACACATTGTGGTACTCCCAACTTTGAAATAGGCGGCAGTGGCCACGGCAAGACAGGGAGATACTCATTGTTAAGTCATCATTTTTATGTGGATTCACAAAGGAATGTTAAGCCAAGGTTCACCTACCAGCTCAGTCTTCACAGCAGCAGGAGTTTGCGCAGTTGTTATGGAAATAGCTCAGGTGCAACATGACCAAACTATGGTCCTTTTGTCATGACTCATCTCTCCGTTAAAAACTGAATAAAGTCCACCCACTGACGAAGACTGTGTCTCACAGATGAATGCTAATAAGCAGAGCTTTAGTTAAGCTTTTTCTTTCTGTGTCAAACTCATCTTTATGTCTTCACACATTACTAGGACTTACAACCAATTATTGCATTTTATTTTTGGTTAACAAGATGTTTTTTGGCCATATGTTCTAAAATGTCTCAATGTGAACTTGAATGTACTGCTTATTAACAAAACAATATATAAATCAAAGCAGCGTTTTGTATTGCTACCAGTAGTGAAAATAACATTGATGATAATGTTTTATCTGTAAATGCCATGTAGAACTCCTGTTTTGATGCCTAAAGTAAGTGACAACATTTGTTGTCATAATGTTTTACAAAAAATTGGTTCAATTTTCCTTTCTTCTTTTTCAGTTGTATAGCTCCCCATTGACTGATGGAGGGAGCATTATCACTATGTCTCACAGACTGACTAAGGAAGAACTGGATGCACAGTTTGAGCAATTTTTGAAAGAGGTAATATACCATCTACACAACTGTAGAATTGTTGAGAGATGACCGTTTGAGCCATTAGGTACTGAATGCATTGCATGGTAGGAAATGATCTGTTCATCTGTAAATGTTAATGTGCCTCTCAAACTGTTTTGTAAGTATAGCTCTGAGTGTGCTTCCTGCCCGTCTCATAAACAGCCAAGCATATCCTTGGTAACGGAGCAGATTATGAGTGACATGCAAACAGCCAATCATTTAACAGGCTGTTATTCAGCTGCACTGTCAGTATGTGATACAACAACAGAAGGAGTGTGAGAAAATGAGTACAGACAGAGAGGAAAGTTAGCTTTCTAGTATGGCAGCTTTTAGTGTTTTCAGTGTGTGACCAAGGCTACAACACAGCTGTGTGGAAACTGTGCCCAAGAACTGTTCCCCGACCAGGGCTGGGATGTAGGGATGGGTATAGAACCTCCGTATCAAATTGAACGAGCCCCTCGGCTACGTTTTACCAGAGTATCATTTAGCTGTTAACAACTCTTTACTGTTATGCACTAAACACCAGGTCAGTTTCCTTGTATGTGGAAACTTGGCAATGAAACCTTTCTGATTCTGCAATGATGTTTTAGACATTAGGGAGAACGTTATGTTGCAAATTGTTTCTCACTACAATAAAACACTCGTCTATGATGCATTTTTAACTTTCCAAATTCAGAAGAAAGTTATCTCTGTTGCAGCCTGTATGAGTGGCAGAGAAGCTCTGTCACCCACCTGTAGCTCAATGCAGCACAGACTCTTCAACTTAGTGACAGAGGAGAGATGTAAATGTTGAAAGTGGGGTGAAGTTGATGCAAACAGTGTTAGCCTAAGCTTTTAATTCTTATGTAATCCTGGGCAATATAATAAAAAAATGCATAACATTTTATTGGGTGAGTAACACCTGCATCAGTCTGTCCACAATGCCATGACATCATCGCAACATTAGTGTCTGTGCTGTAATTTGTTCAAAAGATTGCTATTTATTTTGACCTAAATAATTATTATCACATCACAGTATATAATAGTGATTTGTTAAACACAATGCTGTTGCAGATTGCTGCTCAAGAATGTGAGTCTATATACAGTATGGGTATATACTGCATCTTAATTCTGTTTAGCATCAGTAAGTGTGCCATTAAAGTGCCATATCGATGAGCAGTATCAGTATGAGGAGTAGTGCCATTAAAATATTGACGATACCCATCACTAGTGGGAAAACAACAACCTTATTCTGTCACCATAACTTCTTCCACATTTTGGAGAACATGCCACCAGCCACGACCCTCATATCAAGAAACAACATACAGACAGTCCACGATGGAGAGGAACTCAGCAACAATATCATGTGACAAAACATCCAAATGATACGAGGACATAACCCACACAGTAGCATTCTGCATTGCTAAGGATATGCTACCACTGAAATGAAACACTCTTTCCTGGTAGAGTTTTCACCTGTATTGTCAAGTCCTAACCTGTGTTCCTTGGTGAATATGCTAAAATAGTTAAATAAAAAAACAAAAATGTTGTTCTCTTAGTCCTTATTTAAACCAGGTTATGTTAAAAATCATCAATAATTATCGATTATATTGACTGATTTAAAAATTTTACCATGATACACATTTTGGCTGTATTGCTCAGCCCTGGTTTAATATGCACAGTTTGATATTAACAACATCTCTCTGATTTGACAATGATTTCAGTCCGTTTCAGATGACTCGATTGATTTGGGAAGCCCTGACAAGCAGCCCTATGCTAAAACCAGCCAGAAATCAGCCCAGAAACCAACAGTGGCATTGTGGCAAGATGACGATCACAGCAGTGGAAGTACAGGGAGAGGTAATGTTGAAAAGAAAGCTTTCCTTGATAGTACATCTATCATACTGCATGTGTTAGCCTCCAGCCCTTTTCAGATGTACAGACTGTAATGCCAGTGGCTGCACTTTTTTCAATGTTTAAGCTCTGCCATTTAGGCAGGAAAACACAAGGATTTTCCTATAAAAATAGTCTTAAGTGAAAAAAAACCCAAAAACAAGTAGAGGTCACTGACTCACGAGGGAGATGAGACAGAAAACATTGCTCGGTTTATTTTGCTGTGGATGCATTATGTGAGATTGTGTTATCAAAACAGTTGACTGTGTGGTGTATTGATAGAATTAATAGATGTAAATTTAATCTGTGTAGCTCCCTTGACATTACCATGGAGTACCACTATTGTATGATATTTTGATATTTAGTAAAGTTGTAAGGTAGTTAAAGGCTGGTGTAGTCAGTATTTTGGCATATTTTTGGGGGGCAAAATTCCACTTTAACCTTTTAGCATGTTGTTACTGGAGTAGCCTGAGAGGAAACTAGACTTCTACACCTCCTCTTGTCTCTGTTTTCAAGCTTTAGATGGTGAGGACAGAAAGTGGTGGTGCAATGGGACTTAAACCCAGCTGTAATGTCGCGATAGCAAAACTCTGACCTCGATACAATACCAGCCCAAATAAATCAATGATACCACAGTAAAATCCTAAAATATTATAGAATGTAATGAAACAGATGAGAGAAATGACACCTATAATTAGTTTTTGACTGACTGCACATTTTTTTACACAATTTTAAGTTGCTGACTGTAAATGGAGGGGACCCTCTTTCACTTGACAATCCTGCTCTGACCAAATCAGATTAATAGCATTATTACAATTATAAACGTTTATTAGAATGATGTAGATCGTAAACTACCTTTGCGAGAGTCTGTTATCATTTATTTATTTATTTTTTTAAATAAGGAATTCGATGAAATAGAAAACTAGAAAATTCTCACAGAGTGCAGGCCTCTGTTTAGATGGTGTATTGACTTGACTTTTGTGTTTAGTCTATTTTAATGTCTTCTGTAGTGAGCAGGTAAATAATCCTTTGATCTTCATCACAGGAAATGCCAGACTTCCAGCTAGTCATCTACGTTTATTGTTTTTATGCTCATATATTGTAATCTAAGTGTTGCTAAATGTTTTCTCGTTTAAGTTCTCATATATGTAGGTATGTTTTTGACAATGAATTAGTGCATTTATAACACTATTGGATTACTGTAAATAATTAGATCAATGTTATAGTGTTGTTAAAGCTTTCACATGGCATGCAGTAATATAATGTTCCCTATACATAATTGCTGTCTTCACTAACTTTATATTTGAAACCAGATATCACTTAATAAAGCTGTGTTAAATAGACTCAACACACCATCTGGGAAAAGGTCTTCACTCCACTGAGTGCATTTCCTAGTAACAGAAATAATTACTGACAAAGATGTTAATGCCAAGTTAACAATTACCAGTACTGATTGAGTAAAGTTAGTCATTATAACTGGTGCTGTTGATTTGAACTTGCTTGTGAGCCATGATCAAGTAAATGTTACCAGAGTGAGGGTATGTTTTACTATAGAGATATTTTCCCAATCAGGGAAGTCAGTGAAAAAATTTGAAGCCAAGTTGAAGTTTTTATTGCTCATAGCTAATTTACCTTGTCAAACCCTGGTGGTGAAAAGCATTTTCATCGATATAGTATTACATTTGCATGTTGCTCTTAGAAATCTTTGTATAAGTCAGCATGTCTGTTGGCAAGATTTGTTACTATTCTGAATGTGTTGGCTTCCTCCGAATAGTGAGCTGCTATCTGGCCATTTTCCATGGTTTTCTTGATAATAACCAAAATCACTTAAGTTCTTACATCAATAGCTATGGCATTGTACTGCCAAAATCAGTGCTTTTAGGCATTCCATGTTTTCTTTTCTGTCTGTTTTAGTCACAGGATACACACAGGAGTTAGTACTTGATTGCATAACCATTGTTTTGATGACTGCAGCCATGTGTCTTGGCATGCTCTCCACCAGCTTCTGACATTGTCTCATCTCTGCCCCATCTTGTGGGGCAGAGAGACGTTTCCTGCTGTGACCAGCTAGCAATTTGGTAGTACCATGTTCAGCCTGTTTTTTCTTGGTGTAATGAACGGCTGTCTTGGAGATCTTCAGTTTTTTTTCGCTGTCAGTCTCTCACTCAGGCCAATAACCAGCAGTGCCAAGATGGCTGCCTTTGTGGCTTCACAACTTCTGAGTTGTGCTATGGGTTGAATGTAAGCAGGAAAACCACTAGGCCTTTGCATGTGCAGCGTTGCTTATGACATGAAATGGCCTCTTATATAACCTGGGAATGCAATTAAGCTTAAGCATGTCAAACACAACATCACGTATTATATAATCAGCTGCATTTTTTGTCGTGTTAATTGTATTCTTTAGGTAATATACCTTGAGTTGTACCAGGCATTAAAATGAACAAGAACTTAAAAAAAACAAGGGTGATCTAATCATTTCTTCCATGACTGTATATATGTTTATTATTTATTTTTTTTACTCTTTCAGAAAACAGTACATTCAGAACAAGATTTGATTTTAAATAAGTAAATGTTGATTCTTCAGCACATTAAGTAGTGTTTACAACAGTCATTTTATTACATAAATACCTTACTGGAAACAACTGTAGCATTTGCTGAGTAAGAAGATATGTGCCAGACTAAGCTAGTAAGGCTACATACAGACAGCTTTTGTATTATTTTATACTATTGGCTCAACAAGCATGTTGTGCTGTGTGAAATATACCAACAGTGGAGGGGAGACAGTTCTTACATGTTTCTAATTCTAGCAGTTGAAGCATGTAAAATAATCTTTTGTCTTTAAGAGTTAGAAAGGATCATTTTAAAAGTATTTGTGTGATGAAAACATGAACTTACAAGCTTTGAGGTGAATATTGTATGACTATCAAACAAAACAACATTTCTTGCAACAGCCTCAACATATTCTTATATTTTATGCTATGTTCGTTTACGATTCACTGCTTGTAACAGAAACTTCTTTTAGAGTTGTTATTAGGGCAGAAAAACGTAGGTACTTCTGAGACTGAAAAACTGCTGTGGAAGGCTAGCGATTGGTTAAGTTAGAAGATAGTGCTGATTAGTTGAGAACCAGAGTGCCATTTTTCTGCTCTGTTGATGTCATTGTCAAGCAGCAGTTTTTTCTTCTCTAAAATCGCCATCAGCGTCTTGAAGGTTAACAACAAACTCTCCATTGTTGCATTTATTGTGTGCTGACAGTACTAAGTTACACCCTGTACTACCATTCATCATTGTTTTGGTGCACTCTGAGTTAAGGTTGCTGTTAAAACTTCCAGATCCTACACCGCAATACAAACAGAAGGTCTGAAAGGGCCAATCACAGGGCTGTTCCTGCTGATGTTCATGCCTCATGTGTCCTCTGAGTTGTTTGCACTAGAAATTTTGCCTGTTGACAACTGTTGGTGTTGACNTAGAAATTTTGCCTGTTGACAACTGTTGGTGTTGACCTCACAGACTAAATGCAATATCAAGTAATTCATCAGGAAAAGAATCTGCAAATGATTCAATTCAACTCAGTTCAGTTCAATTTTACTTGTATAGCGCAGTTTACAACATATGTCAACACATGGCACTTTGTAAGGTGAAAACCTCAAAAGATTCACTCATGGTGACTGTGGGCTATAACCTCATTTTTGCATCCAATTGTCTTCACTTAAGAGAAGAAAAACATCAAATTAACACAGCAGTGACTCTAAGAAGATGTTGTCTCACTATTTATTCAAATATAGTACCTCTTTCTCCTTAACTTGTATTCCAGTTTACTGATCTCTCCTTGTCATTTCTCATTACCCAATTTCAACATGTTTCTCCTTATACCTGTTCTGTCTTTTGATTTACAGTTGTAGAAAAACGGCCCCATCTTTGCTCTTTTTGCACATCTTTCAGTCACAAAGTGAACACACACTACCTCCATTCAGTCATACAAATTCAAAATGTGCAAATCTGTATGTGGGTGCACTTTGTCACAGCTGTGTTTTTCTGCTTTGTCTTGTTTTGAAAACTTTCCCTTTCTTTTTCTCATCTTTCCCAGCAGAGACAGCCAAACGCAGATTTATCAAAGCCAAAAAGTGCCAGCCTGAGAACAATGAGGGTGAGAGGAAGTTGAAAAAATATCCCATGACAAAGAGCTGTGCCAACAGTTCTTTAACTACATCCACATTAGGCTGGTTTATTTTAAAACAGTGTTTACGTGCGAAAACATCATGCATTAATGGAGCAATGGCTCCATCTTTCTCAGTCAAACACTGATGGTGCATTTGCTACCCCCCAGTCTGATCGTGCAATGACAGTAATTTTAGAAACAATGCACATTGGTCTCGACTGGAAAGTAGAAACGCACTTAGAAGTAGAGTTGACGTATTAAATTAGCTCATGGTCTTTGCCAGAGTCGTGCACTGCTGTTTACACTTTTTGTTGTGGCTGTGACCTATGTGACTCTGTGGTGACACTGGCAACACATTTGATCGCAAGAATGTGTAAGACTAATGGTCAGTATGTGAATATGACTTAGAATACATTTAGTCTTGTGTAGTTCAGATATTTCATTCAGACTACAATGGATTTGACTGGACGGACCATATACATGACCTTTTTTTACTTCTTCCCCCCCTGAAGATTTCAGCGGGGAACCCCTTTACAAGCCAGTCCCCCAACCTCGCTGCAATGCGCCGAATAAACCCATTAATCCAGAAGAAACTCTCAAAAACACAGTTTTGGAAGATTCACAAACTGTGGAAAGACACAGAGCTCCATCTGATGACTTGTGCTCCCACAGTCTGAGCAGTCCCATGCATGAAAACCTCCAGTGTGTGTCAGGAGAGGGGAGTCCTGTCGACACTACTGAAACTCCTCCAGCCAGCACTTTTAGCCATTCCCAGGGGGACAGTGAAGATGGTAACTTCCACTCCGCCCCCAAACCCCTAGTGATTTAGTCCCCCGGCAAGATGGTAGTCTCACTAATTTCCCTTTTCTCTTGTGTTTGTCTCTTTTAAGCTTTCATTTTTTAATTTTATGTATTAACATTATTGCCATCCTGCCTGCCACATGGGCCTGGAGACTGATGTTGTGCTTGCTCACTGATGCATTAGCCATACAATAGGACATACCGGTAATTAGTTTTGTCATTGAGTGCCTGATCAGTGCCTGATGACAGTTCTTTAATTACAAAGCTCTTATGAAATCCTTGCAACTGACTATGATTCGGAAATTGATTATTTATGAAATGGCAGGACCCATTTCATAACTGAACAGGTGAGACATTTTTCACAAAAAAAAAAAACATTTATAATCCAACACATGCAGAGCAGAAATCATATAATTTCACTGATAATAAAAACACAGTTGATGGGTACAAGTACAGTGACAACACTAGGTGGCAGCATGGGACCTTAAGAAACAATCCACTGTGTGTGTGTGTATGTGTGTGTGTGTCCTGCCTTTTTGAAGCAATAATGTGGTTTCTTGTGATTGTGTCAGGTGTAGAATCCACTGCATGGTCATTCTTGAGCTCCCACTTTGTTGTTGCATATTATATTTATATTTGTCCACATGTACTGCCCGTATTGCCTGTGTATTTGTATATCCGACAGTCCGTATTGTTAGCATAGGAGTAATAAATACCAGTAAGTATAATAAATAGATGGTGTACTTAGTTTTTTTAATCATAATCTCTGTTTAGATCAACTTGTGTGACTGGTGTGACTTACACGATAAGTTACAACAGCCTCATTGTTCTGTTTTCTTTCTTTATTTTATTTTATTTTTTTTTAATGTTAAGGACTGCTGGAATCTGCAAAGTCTTTCAGTAAGTCTTTGAGAAAATCTCACCCTATTCAAGAGGAGGATGAAGATCCAGAAGATACAGGTTTGAAGAAAGAAGGGCTGGAAACTGCTTTCCTCAACCAAGACAACACAGAGACAGAGGGTGAGTCTGGGAAAACTGAAATGAACCAAGTAAGACTGAGATATGGAGCAAAGATACTGTTATTTACAAGTAGCATGTTACAGCTGGTGCTGCTGCTGCTGCTACAGCTGCTGATTATGTTGAGCCTTATCCTGGCTGTATCTCTAGCTTGTTTTTGAACCTAGTCATGCACCTGTCCCTTTGCGCATGTGCCTAACAGTTAGAAATCCTGTGGGCCTGTAGTCCTCATTGAGTTTTAATGCTGTGGAAATATAATGTGGAAGTATGGTTTAGTATTCATTTAATTTGTAGATGCCCATACGCAATATTCAACCGTATCTGTGTTTTTATTCCTGTTTACAGTATTTGTTCAGAAATTACCATTGTGTATAGGAACAGGGAACAACATACCGCTAGGAATGTATTATTCAATGTCAAAAGGAGTGTTGAAAAACTTTTGTTGCACCCAAACGATGACCTGGTACAAATCAGTGCAGTTAATTTAAAAAAGTTACTCTGGAACCCCGTCCCATAGATGCTCAGTAGGCATGAGAGCTGGAGAATTTTAAGGCCAAGCCAGCACCTAAGATGCTGTTATGTTACTTAAACCCTTTCTGAGCAATTTTTGGGCATTACCCTTCTGAAAGAGGTTGCTGCCATCAGGGAATACCGTTGCCATTAAGGGATGCATATGGTCTGCAACATTGTCTCGGTGTGTGTCAAAGTAACATCCACATTAATGCCACGACCCAAAGTATCCCAGTAAAAAATTGCCCAGAGAATTACACTGCCTCTGCTGGCTTGCCTTCTTTCCGTAGTGCATTCTGCTGCTATGTCTTACCCAATAAATGATATATATGCATTCTGCCTTCCACATAATGTAAAAGACATATGACTAATAAGACCAGGCCACCATCTATGCAGCCCCATACGCAGCAAGGTGTGATGCACTGTTTTGACACCATTCTATCATAGCTGTCATTAA